TTCATTTGCCTTGTTTGTATATTGAACTTTTAAAATGCGCAATCGATTAGGCAGAACCCTTATTTGACTCTTCAGAAAAGGGAAACGAAAAAGGACAAAGGAAGGGGAAAAAACCAGGGGAGCCGAGGGAGAAAACATCCCGATGGTGCCTTTCTCTTGTGCTTCTATACCGGCGGCCTCCCCTATAGCTTGGTTAGAACTCAGATACAGACGAGACGTCCCAAAGATTCTGCCGTCATAAGGCGGAACTGAAGGCTTTGCTTGGTGGTACAGGTGCGGAAGGGTTTGATGTTCAATCCGACGCAGAGGAAAGACGCATGCTTCTTCTACAGCGCTGCAGCTCCCAGTTGTCACCCGATGGAGACGAGACTGAGATGGCGCCACGGAAGGATGAATGGTCAGCTGCACAAAACCATGAATCTTCTTTTTCTTACCCACTCCGGGCTCGAGATTCGAACACTGGCGTCATAAGGACCATCAGAGCGGCGAGGGCATCTGGACCACAGCCACTTACTGCGCACCATCCTCATCGGAGGATACTCAGCTGCCCCAGGCCGAGCTGAGGATGCCCTTGTCACGCCGTGCCCCATGTAACACTGAGCAGAGAGACCTGGAAGAAAAGCACTCTGGAGCCTCGGGAAGAAAGAAAGAAAACCTCTTGACAGGGAGTAATGAGGTTTCATATCTCAGAATGGTCGAGAACTGAATGTCGCTTAGGATCTGCGAGGTTGGTGAGACGGCTGAAATATTGACATGTCAATTGCTGACGTATACAGGCCTGGGGCATGTCGAAACAGACAAAATTTGATTTGTGGTGTGTACAAAATTAAATTAAGCAACCATCACTTTATTGATTTATTTTAACCGTAGTATCACTCCGAATGAGCAAAAGCATTTAACTGTATCGAGTATCTGTTTGGATTCGACAAGCCTCTTTTAGGCTTAGTTAGAAGCCAATCTCTAGTGTAAATTCTGCGGTGTCAACATTGTTTGTTGGATGCAACTCTGTCTTCTCTCCTGTGCAACAACAGCAGTCCACGTTGGCATCATACTTGCGCAAGGTATTTTAACACTTGCAACCCACACTTGACTGGGCTGTCTCACCTGCAGCAAAGTATTGCATCTGGCCACACCTTACTCTGCAGTTGGGCAGTTTTTGACGAGACTAGGGCTCAGGCAAAGATGAGGAGGGCATGCATGGTTGCTACTGATGCAGCTGTTGCACCACATTCTGCACTGTGCTTTGTGATGTGATGGGCTGCACTGCGCTGCTGCCCACCACCAGCAGCCCAACCAAGGGAAACCCCAGCACACACCACACCACTGTGATCATCATTGGCAGAGAAGCAGCAGGGCTTCAATATACAAACTTGGATCCATTTGTCATGCCACATAGATAGGCACTGCTGCATCGGGGCCCAGTTTACCCATCTCCCTGTAAGCGCTCTCTGTCCATGAGGGATGGTTCCGATATCCTCGTCTGGCACACACCCCTCGAAAACCGGACCGCCCTTTTGTGTTTGTCGAGATCAACCCCTCCTGCATGGGGGCCCCCACACCCTTTCGATGCAATCCAGACATTGTCAATACAGTGCAGTAACCCACCTGCCACGTACTGTCGCGTTCGTGTCGCGTCGCGAGAGGAAAAGAAAGAAAAATGGGAAACAAGATGGAGAGAAAGGAAAGAAAAAGAGAAAAAGAAGAAAAGAAAAGAAAGCAACGGGAGGAATAGTAGGCTGAACTGGGAAGATCTTCTGCACAGATTTGCGCTTCTCGTTTCCTAAAACGTCGATCCAACCCACGGGCGAATATGCATCGAGGGCCAGACGCGTGCGGCTGGTCCCGATCCTCCAGCCAGGGGGCGTCGACTCATTGCCATGTACGGAGCAATGCCGTAGGGGATGGTGTTGTACAGATGGCTAGGTGCGAAGTATCATCCCAGAAGTAGATGGGCCAAGAGCAAAAGTCTTGTTTCTTTTTCATATTTTCTTTTAGTTCTAATTTTATTGTATTGTATCCTATTAACGTTTCTGTTGGCTTGATGGCACGGCACACAACCCATAGCTTTATTGTGCGTGTGTTGCCGAAGATCCAATCACGATAGTTAGGGACGAGCCCAACACTGCGCGGCAAACGCAGAACAAGATCACACCCGTACCATACTCTAGTACAATTAAAGTACAGCCATTATTGCTTCTATGCGATAGAAGAAGAAGAAGAAGAAGAAGAAGAAGAAGAAGAAGAAAGGACCCGATCGGACCTGGCCCGGCGCCATCTCCAGCCTGACGCCATGCTGTTTCTCTCTATTTCTCTCTATTTCTCCCTCTCCTTTCTCTCCCCACCCCCTATATGTGACAGCCCGAGGGAATCCATCAAACAAACCCCTTTCCTGTTTGTCAGGAAGCCTCCCTTTCTTTTCTATACAGCCCATTCACTGCTTTTGTCAGCGTGACGGTCGGTGGACCGTTGGCTCCTCCTCAGGCGGAGGATACGTCAAGGAGGGCTGGAGATCCATGCCTTCTTCACCAAGAGCTCATTCGCGAGCCAGCACGCCTGGATCAGGGTCTTATCCCCTTCGTTTTTCATGAGAGAAAGAAAGAAAAAAGCGAGAAGAAAAAAAGAAAAAGCAGGGACAAATACCGTAATACATACTTCACAGTACATACTGCTGAACCCCTGGGACCACTTCCAAAGTCTCAAGTCCCGCAAGAAGCAGGATAGATGGGTGGATGAAAGGATGGCCACGCCCAAAACTTGTCTTGTTCGTCATAAACCCACTCACTGACCAGTATCGCAAACAAGTCGCAGAAGTCCACACCAGGAATATGTACATACGACGTAATATTGTACCATGATACCAGATGGACCATGATGGACCCTCAATAGTAGTAGTGGTACCCCAAGGGCTGGCTGGCACAGCGCCAACCCATTCAGTTCTTCTCTTGGTCTTTTCTTCACACCCCCCCCCCCCCTCTCCTGCTCCTCAATAACCACCTTCTATTCCCTCCCCCACCTCACCGGCTCACCCCCTGCCAATCTGGCCTGGTCACCGTGTCCCTAGCGTAGTGCAGGGTTCTTGGGTTTTCTGCGCCTCTCCCAGATCGCCCCAGTTTTCCATGCTACAGTACATCGACATATTCGCATGGAAGGGCAGGGACCAGGGATGCTCTGAATATCGCGGTGAGGCGCCTTGGTAGTCCCCTGCTGTATCTGCGACCCACCGGTACGAAGTAGCGGGTACCCAGCACACCCCAGCACCCGCGCCTGCAGGGAAGCTTTTCCGTCTCTTGCCTTGGGCGCTCATCACCCTACCATATGGTTGGGAGGTACTATGTAATAGTACATCAGTACCCAAGTAATTGCGGTTGCCCTGCGTGCCTTGTGCCTGCGCCTGCGCCTGTGCCTGGTCTGTGCCTGGCCTGTGCCGGTGGAGTTACCCATGGTACATCTCAAGTACCTTTCCCCAGTTGTACTTTGTCGCTCTCTTCTTTTTTTCCCCCTTCTCAATCGCTATTCCCCTCCACCCCCCCACCCCCCGGACCCAAAGCCCAACCCGCGGCCCTGCCACTGGGGACGCACACACACACACCTCTTGCTTGTCACTGGATGGCCTTGCGCCATGCGCCATGTACATAGTAATGCCCTGGCGCCCAAATTCAGGCAGATCGCACACCTTCTTTCGAGTCTATCAAGACTCTGGCCCTTGTCTTTTTGTTTTAAATCTTGCCCGTGTACCCTACCGTCGGCAAACTTTATCTCATACATACCCTTCCACCCCCCTCCTCCTACTCCTCCTCCCGCCAACCCAGGTTCAATGATAGTTTATTAGTACTTGACGTCTTCCCTGTTTCTCACCTGTGACAGAGCCCGGACTCTTTTTTTCTTCTTACTCTCTTCTTCTCATCTATCTTCTTCCAACCCTATACTACTACTTACAACCTAACCTATCTGGGTTCCCTCCCTCCCACCGACGAGCAGACCAAACAACAACAACCTTACGTGAACTCGTCGAATTTTTGGGGCAGAGAGAGAAAGAAAGAAAGACGAAGAGGAGAAAGACGAGCTACTCTTGCCGGTTACCTGGTGGAGGAAAGCGCCGCGAACGAGACTCAAGCGCTGCGTGTGTGTGTGTTGTAATACGTACGCCTCACTTGACGCACCGAAAGACGACCGAGAGCCAGCCAGTCCACGACACCTCAGCTCTGTGGTCTTCCCCAAGGCGAATACGTGTTGAGGCCGTGACGCGCACATCCGCTTCCGAACCCCATCACAAATCCACAACTCCTTCTGTGGACGTTCTTCGACAGCAATTTTCCAGCCGAACAAGCACCACTACTACGGCCCACATCGACGGGGCGGTCCTCTTGTTCAGACTTGGTTTAGCAGCAAGACTTCTTCCAGGAACTGAGAGAGAGGATCACGACTAATCCCCAAGTGACCCTCGCGCACTAGGGTCCTGTCAGGTAGGCACTGGATTTCCTTCGCCTTCCCTTGACATCATCCACTTCCTCGAATACTTCTTTTCTGTGAAGACAAATATTCCGGCGCGCACAACATACGCATGCACACATACATCCACACACATTAAAAGGCCGACCTCGCAAAGGCGTCTCGATTGGGGTTCAACCACCAAATTTCCGAGTCGTTGCGGATCGACCTCTTAACACATCCCGTCCAAACCCAGCACCCAGCACCTTTTGTCCCTCACCGCCCGAATACCTTTCTCCGAAGGAGGGGGTTTTTTATAAAAGAAAATATCTGGGATCAGGAAATTTTGACGCTCTGAGACTAGCAGTTCCCTTTCTTTGACCACGACTCCTTGAAATACAATATTTGCGGCTGCCTCCAAAAGCATTGCAGGCTTTCGAGACACCTGCAAAAAGAGAACAAGCAAACCAAAAAGAGAACCAAAAGGACGGTGTGCCACCAGATGAATTAAGCTGAGCATTTTCGCCTGAGCACTGGGGATCTTGACTCAAGTGACTTGATCCTGTACCGTTATGGAAGTAGGCAACTCCGCTGCCAGGCAAAGGTGTGTGTGTGTGTGTGTGTTTATAAATTCACAGCAGTAACGGCGACACAAGTCTCCTATCTCTCACCTTCTCTTCTCGGCTCTATTATCATTACTACAGGCAATGTTCCACCTCTATTCTGTAGGCCATACTGACCCAGTGCAACTTCCCTCTCAAAAGAGATTCTAGGCATTTCTCCCACGCAGAGGGACCGACCATGGCGACAGCGACATTAATGAACCCTATGCCTCATTATCAACCCCACCATCCTCCTTACTCTTCCAACTATTCCCACCACTCGCCAGCGGGTCCCAGCGGCACGGCCATCATGTCACCCGTCGAGCCTCGGAGGATGGATGACCACGAACCTCTGCGACAGTCGTTACCATCAATACAGGAAGTGATAGGCGCAAAACCACCAACGCCAGCAGGCTATCCGTCTTCGATCTCCACATCAGTCTCAACCGCGCCGAGCCTACCATCTCCCTTTGCAACTGCAGCAGCAGCAGCCGCCTCTCGTTCCTATGCAGCAGAGCATTCCTCGCCTCAGGACAGACACTCTTCGCCGAGGTTGTTACACAACCCGACATCGTTTCCCACGAGGGGCGAGCCCATGCCACCCTTTTCTGACCCCAACCGACCTCCGCTCCACGCACGGCCACCGCCACCGCCGCCCGTCAACACTTACCATCTGGGAGCACGGCCGTCACCGCCGCCGCTGAGGACGGACGCGCAACACTTGGCTGAGCGTCATGCCGAGGGCCACAGATCGGCTGGGTATCCTCATTCAGCCATCTCGGACCCAGCAGGCATGGCCTATCCGCCACAGCCATCCTCACTGCCACCAGGGCAACTCCCCCTCTCGGCACACCCTATGTCGCCGCGGTATTCTTCTGGACCTTCGCTGCCCTCACCCTATGACGCATCGCGCGCCTCGGTGCAGGAGGACGGTGACTACGGCAGGAGATCAACGGAGAAGTATGAGCAGACTCTCAATAGGCATTTCGAGGCGTGGCAATATCAAGAAGCACTAGCCAAGGTACGCCCTCCTTTATGATTGATTCTTTTCTTCGTGCCACTCCACAGAAAATTGACAGGAAAAGCAGATTGCGTCTGGCTCCCGAACAGTTTTCAACTTTGCAGATGCCTACGGCCGATGCGCTGCTGAGGAGCAAGGACCGGCGTCTCACATACCCACGCGGATACCGTCAGAGCGAGAAGTGACCGACATGATCAACATGGCCGAGTGGATGAGAGGGATGCTGGACCAGCTCCGGACCATGGTCCAGCACAGCACCATCATCAACGACCGGGCTCGAGAAGCCAGCCGTGGCAAGGCGCCTTATGAGGATGAGGATGTCATGATGTACGGCAGTGATGGAATTAAATCACCATACGAGATGTCGAGTGTCAAAAAGCGACGAGGTGTAAGTGGGACACAGCGAGCCACTGTCTGAAACCTTTTTACCAAAAGGAAAGAAACAAAAAAACTGACATTATTCTTGGTGAACCAGCGCGCGGCTCCTCCTGGCCGGTGCCACAGCTGCAATCGAATCGACACACCCGAGTGGCGGCGTGGTCCCGATGGGGCACGCACGCTCTGCAATGCTTGCGGCCTGCACTACGCCAAGCTCGAGAGGAAGAAGCAGATCGATGCCAAGAATGTCCGTGCCAGGCCCTCGGTAGAGAGGAATTAAGTCACCGGGGTTCCTTGGTCCAAGGCCAAGATTGTCCTTTGCACGCCATCACCAATATGATAACAACAGCAACATCCATTATACTCCCTCATATTTTGAGACAGCGGGAGTCGACCAAGACACGAAGATATCCCTACTTAACGACCGAGGTTTTTTTTGGTTTTTTTTTTGGTTTTTTTTGCAGAGTCCGGCCCTCCCTCCCCCCCCCCAAAATATGTCTCATTGTCGAGTACTTCCTTCTATACCCATGTCTGTCAGGTCGGGTCTTGTTTTTATTTCTTTAATTTTATTCTTATTCTTATTCTCTTGCTGGGTGGGTTTTGCGAATGTCCAAGCGAATACATTTCACAACCTCGAGGATCCTGTATATAAACAACAACGTCATTGTCATCATCATCATCGGCTTTCGGCGAGGTGGGGGAGTTGAAAACATTTTATTGTCATGCCTGGTGGGGACGGATAGGAAGGTGTGGTGGACAGCTGGATTTTCTCTCTCCCTTAACTGGCATCATGCTGGGCGTCGGTGTCCTGCTTCATATCATATCCTGATCTTCTTTGCTCCCCCGAATGATGAGGATCGGGGAGGGGGAAGAAGAGACGGAATTGAGCTTGCTCATTATTTTCTCAAGACCATTTTTGTTCAGCACAAACATCATCATCATCCTCCCTTTTTAGAAGCGATATAAATAGCAGCACAAGGCGACTTGATACTTTCCATGGGAAAACGGTTGAAAGAAATCAAGAAAAAGAGGGGACAAAAGAGAAAACTGTGGTTATCATCATCGTCATCGTCATCATCATCAATCAATCAATCGTGCCGTCGAAAGGAGCCATTGAACTAGGGGGGAGTGGGTGGGAATCTATTTGATCTACCAGCCTGTGTTGTTGGTTCCTCATCAATGTCTTGTCCTGAGCCATGACTAAGTACTTTAAGTGTTACAGCTAGACTTGTAACACGGCACCAGCGATTTCTCGCGAAAGTCGTTCCCGACTGGCTCCGAAACGAGAGGGGAGCGGCGGTACAGGGATGACGAGCTTCCTCGAGGCTGTTTGTACAAACCGAACCCCCCCCCCCCCCACCCCCCGGGTTCCCCAAATCCCTCACAGAAACCAAGAAGGAGGAAGGGGGGAGGAGGGGGAAAGCAGAAGAGATTACCACCCACCACCATAGCGAGCAGCTGACGTCGTTCCCGTTCGGAGCCGAACAGAACGAAGGAAGATGAAGAACGAGGGAGAACCCTTATAGCACCCGCAGCTAAGAATTTCGTCTGAGCTGGTCAACCTACTCAGCCAACGGTTGAGAGGGAGGCCGGCCTGCATGCCTCGCTAGGGTAAGCAGGCTGGGACAGGGGCAGACCCAGGCACACAGGGCCGGGCCCGAAAAATATAGGCCACTCGCTACCAACTAATATTACCCTTTGTATACTTTGCTTGGTCTACTATGGTGGGTGGTTGGATTCCCAAAGATCCCGAGCGAGCCGGCTTCAGACAGTGTAAGATTGGGAGAAAAGGAAAGAGAGGATTCTTCTGAATTCCTCTTGCTCTCAAGAAGAATAGACTGCAGCTAGACTAAAACCTTGACTGGTGGTGCGGGTGTGGTGATGGTAATTTTTTCTTTTCTTCCCCTGCCCCCAGAAGAAGGGCCGGATGGATGATCTGTGGGGTGCAGATCTTCGGAAACACACTCAGCCCCAAAGAACAAGAAAAGGGGAAGGAAGAAAAAGACCCGCTGAGTAAAAGTTTCGATCTGACGTTGGGCATCTTTCAGCTTACATAGTGTACCGTACTATGACAATGGATCATCCACGAGAATGGGGTAACATGAGATCGACGGACGGGAAATCATCGAATGCCCAACTGTACGTCATATTATGGTAGTATAGAGAGTGGTATTTTTGGGGGGGAGGGGGGGGGCCGGCGGGGAGAGGGGGCCGTTGTTGATCTGGAAGAGGAAAAGAGAAAGAGAAAGAGACACAGAGAAAATCAATGTCCACCCCCTCCAAGCTCCGTTCGTGTTCATGTGATCGTCTCTGGAAGCACCATGACACGCACTTGCTGTGACGGTGCGAGCCATGCATGACGTGGACCCTACCCTATCGTTAGCCTCCTCCAGCCGCCTTGGTGTGGGAAAAGAAGGGGAAGAGGGTTTGTTTTACAACCCGTCTCCCTCTTTTTTTTTCTTCTTCTCTACGTCCCCCTTCAACAACGCCCCCCCCCCTTTCCCAGAACGTGCCCATTCCCGAGCCAAAAAAAGACACATCACAAATTACAGAAGAAAAAAATACACCAAGCTCAACGGTTCTACAATCCAGCACACCATCTAAGATGCTAACCTGGCACTTGGTGGCATGACAGGTGGGGCACAAACAAGAAAAATAAAGCTTCCCGTCCCGATCGATGCATCTACAAACTAAAGTTGGGGGAGGGGGCTTAGAAGGAAAAAAAAGTAACCCTCGGACCCAGTTAACAGTCCGGGCGCGCAACACACATTGTCCATCATCTGTGCACCACACGACTCTGACTCTCTCTTTTGAAGGTATGACGGGAATATGACATGGACCTTGCTTTCTTTTGAGTGGTATCACGGTACTATATTACGGTACTGGCGGGGCGGGACGAGATCTGCCCAATGGTGCTGAGGATCTGCCCCCCCCCCCAACACCCTTGAGCGAGAGCCTAGCGGCACGCCAATGTTACAGGAGTTACAGGATAGAGTTCGCGTGGGCTTGCCGTATGGTGATGATTTTTTTTATTTTTTTTGTTGGTGTTTAGTAGGGGGAGAACGTTGGAGAGCAACTGGCCGCGATGGTGGCGGAAACTGGGCTGCTGTTGTGCCACTCAAGTAAGAAGTGGGTTCCGTGCTGGCTGGGCCATGAGATCATTAAACCAAGGCAAAAGGACAAGACGAGATACATTATCGAGTAAATAGTACTTCTCAAGGGGGAAGGGGGGAAGGGAGAGAGAAGGTTAAACGATCAGGGGGGGGGGCTTAGGGGTCCACGGCATTGATGCCCAGTCAACAAGGGCCATGGTACTTTAACTGTACATCAGATATACCAAAATACCAAAGTAAAGAGAAGTAGGTTAAATCTCGGCAACTACAGCCGCGAGTCATGAGACATCTAATCGGAAAACAAAAGAGCAAGGCTTGCCATGTGCAGCATGGTATATCGGTCAAGAATGTACCGTCCGATCTCGAGGGACCCTTTTTCTCCTTTCCGTCTCCACATGACCGATCCAATCTCGACTCGTTGACGAAAGAAGAAAGACCAGGGCCGCCGTATCTGAGGGGAAGAGTGGAGGTGGACCAACGCACACTCAGGAATCGACACGACACCATATCGGAAAGTCTATCTTGCTAGGTGGCAGTATATTGATCACGCGCTCTGGCAAGAGGTGGACGAGTCATGGCTCTTGCCTCTTCATGGGGCTGAGGAAGAGTTCTTTTGTCTACCTCCTTTGGCCTCTTGGAATGAAAGAAGAAAAAAAGGACACCTGGGCTGTAGTTTCTACACAGTGCTATGTAGTGCTATGCTGTACTATGTATGGTAGATGTTCTTTATTCTTGCTTGTTTACCCCAGATTCGAAAGTGGCGGCGTAGCCTTAGATAGTAAAGTAGTGGGTAAAACCACCCGTTCCCTTTGCTCATCTGGCCCCATCCTCAAGGAACCCCTTCGCCTGGTGCTTATATCTGGTCGTGGAATACGGCTATGGTGTGTACATGGCTCAACTGGACCAGGAACTACAACTGCATCTTCCGACGTTGCCCAGCAGTGCATTCGCATGGGACACGATCTCGCGTGCTGCCATCTGCAATGACGACCTGACCAGCACCAGTAGCCTCTGGACAAGTTGCTCTGAGCACAACAGGGAGGACAAGGTAGAGGTAACACTTGTACTTTGTGCAGTCATTGGCTCATCCTTGATTCATCCGCCCGTCCCCCAACTGGATGTGCCTGTCGTGCCACCTGATCTGTCAGAGTCTCCAGGCATGTTCGGATGCTATCGATTCTCCTCAATTGTCCTCTTAGGGGCAGGAAGTTTGGGTGAGTTTTATTTCTACTTAATGTACTTGACGTCTTTCACGAGATGGAGGTTGGGAGATGAGAAAGTAAGTCTAGCTTTCTTTTATGATGACAGTGGCGTTTAGTCATCCTACTCAGCCAGGGAACCCTTGAGCTGACATCTATATTCCAAAGAACCCTTGCAAATGGTATTCATAATGACCAGTCACTCTTTCTGTCAAGCGACAACGCCATCAACAAAAATTTGAACCCCCCAACTGGAGATGATGTCAGCTGTGCCATCAGACTTGGTGGCAGTCGGTATGAACGACGGGATCTCGGGTGACATGAGGAGGCCAGGGTGACAGGTCGGTCCCTCTCTGCCGGCGCGCGCGAGATCCCCCATATTAGCACACCGCACGACACCCGATGGATGTGATAGAAGCAAGCATGGAAAAAGGGAAAAAAATAAAATAAAAAATAAAAATAAGAATAAACAGAAAAAGGGAAAAGGGGGCGGAGCGAATTCCGCTCCCGCCCTCGATGTACACAGCGCTGTTGCACTTCGCTGCTGCAGGTAGCCTTCCGGGATCTGGAACCGCCATCATCAGCTCTACCCTGGCCGTGCTACCAAGGCATCGTGTCGTGTGATTGTTTGCTGTATGTCTGAGTGTGTGTCTGAGTGGGGAGTGAGAGACAGAGAGAGAGAGAGAGAGAGAGAGAGAGAGAGAGAGAGAGAGAGAGAGAGAGAGAGGGAGGGAAAACCCCCGACGGTCTTCTACCTGAGGAGCCCAGACTTGGAAAACTTAAGTCGGGCTAGATCTGCGGACAGAAGAAGACTGTCTCATCTTTCATTTTCATCGTATTGTCTTTTCTTCTTCATTCTTTATTCCTTTCCCAGTTTTCTTGCCCCAAGTTTTCTTCTCCTCATTCTATTGCTAGCCAAATTAAACATGCCAGCAGGGAAAAGTGTCTCTCAAGGTCTGCCGCGCGCT